CGGTAGCGCGCCGACAGCAGGTTGTAGAGCACGGGGTTGACGCAGGCGCCGAGGTAGAAGAGCAGCATGGCGGCCAGGTTGAAGCTCTGGGAGGCGGCGTACAGAGACTCCACCTCCTGCCCCGCCCACGTCGCCCACGCCACGCTGGAGAAGAAGATCCGGCCCACGTAGAACGGCAGCCAGCACAGGGCGAAGGACAGCACCGCCAAGACTGGAGGGGACAGAGAGCCGTTCAGGACAGCTGCCACACTTACAGAGCGAGGGAACCAGTTGCCCCTCTACAGCAGTTCTGCCCACCCAGTGTCCCTCTTTTAAACACTTCTGCTTTATTTGACATAAACAAGACACAGAGCTGCTATCTGGCCACAATTTACGTGGTTTATCAGCGAATTGACCCCATTTGAGTAGCAGCCTGGAAACCACGCGTCACTGAGCAATGGAAGTGAACAGTTATTTGCATTTAACTGCAGGCTGGGTTTCCATGCAAACCTGTAAATCGTGGCTCTTATGCTTAATCTGTTACAGTTACTCTCGCCAGTTTAAATTAATCATACTCAAGCTACAAAATTCTAAAAAAAAAAAACCTTTAGTTTTTCCAATACAGGTGAGAGCTGAGAAACACTAACTAAAGAGAGACGTATGATTCCAGCACACACAGCATCAATGAACCTACAGCCAGAAAAATGGAACCGCAAACTCAAGATCAGTCTCCAAGCTGGTATGATTAATGGTGGTAAATGATTTTAATTTGTCCTTTCTGGTGCCTAGCTTTTACAGCACCTGTTAAGTGCCTTGGGTTTATAACTGTGTTATCTTGCACAATCATCCCGTTGATGCTACCGCAGTATATAAAATGTTTTTTCTATTAGGTCTGCGTGATCTTTCGTCCAACTCAATAAAAAAAAAAAACAGGCAATATCAGAGCGTGGCTCTAGTGCATGTTAAATAAAAGCAGGACTGTGGCAGTACAGCTTTTAATCAGCAGTGGCAGCGAGATGGACAATGTGCTTCATTAGAGGCAAGGTGCCCTCAACATTAGGGCTCACCGAGATAAAACCAAGAGGATAGACGACGTCTGTTCGTTCAGTCAAGAACCAGAGGAGGAGGAAGGGCTGCACCGTGGTCAGCTCACGATTTAAAGGCATGTTAGTAAATTTGACAAGACAGAGCCACTGTAATATTTGGCCACTCTTCATGGGCTTGATCAGCGAATTGTCCCTGTTCAGAAGCGTGCCTAGAGACCGTGCTTCACTGGGCTGGGTAATTGAACAATGCTTTTCCCTCATTCAGGACCTTCACGGCTGGCTCCCAGTCCCAGCCCGGAAGTGTAACTTTGCTCCGCACCAGAAACCCAAGTGCCCCCCCCCCCCCCGCCCCACCCTTCCGCTCTTTCCCCCCTGCTAGTTCTTACCCAGAATCCTGATGGTCTGCCGGTGGGACCTCTCCCGGCCGCGGGCGTGGGGGCCGCCAACCTGCCCACGGGACCGCCACAGCTTCCTGCCGATCAGGCCGTACAGCAGGGAGAGGCAGGCCAGTGGGAGGAAGAAGTACAGTGTGGAGAGCCAGGTCAGGGTGTGCAGGAGCCCGGAGGTCACCGCCTCTTCGGTCTGCCGGCACTCCTGGCCCTCCATGTGAAACAGGAAGAACACGGGCCCCGCCGTGGCCATGGAAACGGCCCAGAGCGCCCCGATGACCCGCTGGACCCGGTCCTTGGTGACCAGGGTCTTGGCGTGCAGGGGGAAGCAGATGGCCAGGTAGCGCTCCATGCTGAGGGCCGTGACGTGCAGGATGGTGGCGTACGTGCAGGTCTCGCTCAGGTAGAACTGGAAGCGGCACAGGAAGTCCCCGAACGGGAAGGGGCGGTACCTCCACAGGCGGTAGAGGTCAAAGGGCAGCCCAGCAAAGATGAGAATGTCGGAGAGGGCCATGCTGGACAGGTAGAGGTTGGTGGTGGTGCGCATCTCCCGGAAGCTCCAAAAAACCAAGAGGGTGGCTACATTACCGCTCACCCCCAGCAGGAAGAGCACTACGCAGACCGCCGTGACCGGCACCAGCGTGTGTGGCTCGAACAGGGACACGGGGCCGAGCAGTGATTCGGCGGAGTCGTCCGTCTCGTTGAAAGGAAGGCTGAGGTTCCAGACAACATCCATGGAAGGCTGGGGAGGTGCTGCTTAGCTCAGAGTAGCACAGGGCGTCCCTGCAGTCTTGGCTGTTCCATGGACCAGGGTTACAGACTATGCAAAGCAACAAAGGCACCACTCTCCAGGAGCAAATATCTTGAGTCTTAGCGTGGCTTCTATCGTTGTAGCAGAGGCCAGAGGTCAGAAGCCAGAGCTGCGCTGGAGCTCAGTTGGCGCACATGCAGTGGCAGCAGGAGTGGTTGAACGGCTGTGCTCTTGCGGACCACTCATTAAATATCAACGTGAGCACAGGTTCGCTTATGGTGCTTGCTGTGAATCTGCCATCAGCTGTCGCTGATGCGCATAACCATGATGTTTTCACTGGCTGCTGGAGGAAGGCGTATCCTTCAGAGTGGTTCCTTTACCCGTGGGCAGGACATCCCTTGTCAGGGCAGTACCCTCTCTTGTAGCGTAGAGTTTCACAGCTTTTAACGAGAAAAAAATGCCCTTTTGCGTGCTCTGCTCACTTGTGCCCCCTCCCACCTCTCTAGCCAAATCCTCCTGAAGATCACAAACAGGAGCCAGACAATAAGACAATAAGAGTCAGACACAGACAGCTAGCCCATGGGCTGTCGACAGGACAGTGTGATGATCACTCCCACTGCCTCGAGTCATAAAGACGATTGAAGAAACAATCACTACTCCATCACATCCAAAGGCTCCACAAGAGGAGATTCATGTTCACTCTGCACTCTTTGTCCGGAAGATGTAGGCAGCCAAAATCCCGATAGTCCACAATCCACACATTTTATCTTTATGGGTAAGGATATCCTCTCTCATAATATATCATCCGATTCCCCCCGAAGGTTTACGGTGCTCCCCGAGTTTCCCTTTGCTGCTTGCCGATGCAGAAGGATGAGCAAGAACAGATGGAACTGCACCTTAATGTCTCAGACAGCTTTATGAAACCTTATCTCTGCAAAGACCTGCAATAAGGGGACTCTCAGAGTGCACTGAGCCAAATGCAGGTCTGTGCCATGAGGTGGGGGGAGTTGTAAATTTCCTTTCACGTTTCCCAGGGGATGCAGATGAAATTCTCCCTGTGTCTGCGTGTCACACAATTCCAAGCAACGGATCTGGATGTTCCCTGGCTTTCACCCTGTTGGATGCTGAGCATAGAAACCGTCCTTTGTTTAACACACCCGGCTTTACCATTCCAGTGGAGCAGAGGTGGAATATTCTCCAACGGGAGGGAATAAGAGGTGGAGACCCCCAACGTCTACCTGCCAGAGCAAGAAAGCTCCGGTCCTGCTTCCTGCCTGGCTGTCTTCAGCTGGTGTTCCCCACAGGACACTGACGGGCCATCGTGCTGGTTTTAACGTGACTTGCTGTCTTCCAAGTCAAGGCAAAAGGTTCAAAGAGACAGTTAAGGGCAGTAAGATCCATTAGAATAGATTCCCCGACAAAGGAGCAGTAGGATGGCGCGAAATCAATCAACGAAGGTCGCCGACAGCCTCTTCCAATATGACAGGCACAAGCCTGTTTGCCACAAGCTGTCTTGCTCTAACGTTTTTCAGTGCCAGAACCAGCCGGTTTCCCTTTAAATGACCTGGGTGACGTGGCCGGAGGGCTGTGGAGCAGGAATATTCTCCCTGATGTGCTCAGCACACCCCTTGGGCACGTCCTGTCTCCCCAAGAGCCTGTCCTCCAGAGCAGGGTGCCTGCTGAGAGTGAGCTGTCAGCTGGCGCGCTGTTCCCGGAGAGCAGCGGAGAATGAACGCGCCTGCTGTCAGTACAAGTTCAGGCAGCGCCAGCCTCCCTCAGCGGGGCTTTGGGCATCTCCACAAGCTGAGGAGGGGGATAAGGTAGCATTTTGTTACAATTGGTTGTTCATAAATGTTTTGCAAGGTGATTGATTTGGACTTTAATGAGCAATTAAATGCAGGGTGATCCTGAACCGCTCTTTCCAGTTGTAGCCACTAGAGGGCGCAATGTTTTTTGTTTTTTTTAAAGGCAGCCATACCCTGCTTGACTATTTTTTCAGCAGTGGTTTCCTTGTTTCACCATTTCTTTCAAAGTCCATGTTCTTAGAAAGGGTCCACGCCAAGAGGAGTCCTACTCCCCCAAGGAAAAAAAAACGCACACTGTACTGAGACAGGCTTCCAGAATGCTTCCAGTCTTCTTAAAGATCACCCGTGTTGGACCTTGCATACTGCCTAATTTCAAGAGATCAGATAGAAATGTGTTTTTGCGTGCTCCGTTTTGTGCTTGATAGTTGGTTGCCCTAGCATCATCTCTGAATCAACCCAGTTTAATTTGGCTGGCCTCCGGCCAAGATTAGACCAGGCTGTTAGTGTTTTATTTTGTCATCAGTTCCCTTCCATTTAATTGCAGGGCAGTTTGCAGGCGAGTGGCAGGAGGCATTGTTTGATCACGGTGTATTTGGCAGGGCTTCTCGACATCGCAGGGGCGGAGTTCTATCTGCACGGGGCGGAAGAAATCACACAACGTTAAGACGATGAAGCTGCAGGGTCGTGCTCGTCAGGCCGCGAGGGGGCACGTCTGGGTGATTTAGCTGTGTTTGAGATGCATCAGATGCGGTGATTTATCACTCTCGGGGCTGACGTTGTTTTTCCATCCTCTGGGACCGGCCATCGCTGTGCTGCAACACCGTGAGGTTGTGTAGCAAGAAAGAGCACAGAGCCCGTGCATCCACAGTGCTGATCCTGCCCCTGAACACGCTGGACTGAGCTGATGTCACCCAATCCCAATCCCAATCCCAATCCAAATCCCAATCCCAGAGTCCCACTGACAGCACAGGGCCCCTTGTGTCAGCAGAGCTGTTCCTGCCTGTGAGCTGAGCAAACGTCTGGTCTGTTTTGTTCTTTACTCCCTCCTCTGAGGGTGGTCTTAAGTAAAAAACAAGTACCCCCTGTTCTTGGCTTTGAATACAGTGGTCTGTCTCGCTATTCAATTGAATTTCGCTATTCAAACTGAGGAAGAGCACAAGCCGGGGACTGTCACACCTGGAGGGGGAATTGACGATCTCTATCAGGTCTCCTCCTAGTCCTCTCTGTTCAAGACTGGAGAGGTTCAGTTCCTCCAGGCTGTCGGTGGAGCTCTAGTGGAGTTGTGAAAACACTGTCTACTCAAGAAATCAGCCCCACAGAACAGAAGGCAACAAAGTAAAATGGTAGGGCTATGCATTGCTGGACACCATACTGGAAATACAACCAATATCACATTTACTGCTTTTTGGATGTCCCTGAAATAGCCTAATTCTACTGCTTTGTTATCAAAATAGACTTTGCCGAAGCTAAACATTAGGCATCAATTAAAAAAATGCACACCTGAAGAAGGCTCCACAGCCGAAACATTGTGTTTTCTTCCTTCTGTTTTTTTTCAGCATGGAATAACCCTATTACTTGTTCCTTTGCAGCCTACGCATGCTGACGCAGCCACCCACCTGAACTATCGATTAAAAATGTTGCCTTGTCCTAAAAGAACTAAAAAGTTTGTTAATGCTGAGGCTTGGCCACAGCGCCATAGCAACGAGAGATTAAAGAGGACTCAGGCTGTCTTTCTCAGAATTCTCTGCATTATTTAGCCACCTGTTAATAGCCTGGAGATAGCAGAGCAGTGTGTTGATGTTGTTTGGAGGGGGGCAGTTTCAAGGTCATTAAATGAGAAAAATGGCTCATTTCTCCAGGGCTGAGATCGTTCTCCAGATAAAAGGAATGTTAATGTCTAAGCCGAAAACGTGCAGGATCAAACCGGGGCTCTGCTGAAAGAGTCCTGGGGCCCGGGCAACAGGCAGAATACTGCTGATAGACTAACCTGGCCTCTGGCCTCCAGCCTCAGCAAAGAACAGAGGACGTCACTCAGTGTCGTGAGATGATTACAATAATCATGACAACTTTTAAAAACAGAAATAAAATGGAATGCTAGCGACTCACAAACAGCTTTAAACAGCAGTTCTATCCTTGCCACACAGTCTGGTGCATCATAATCAGCAGTATTTTCAAATAGGGGGAGGTCATGTGTTGTGTTATATTCAGCAGGAGCCGTCAGAAAGGGCAGCTGACGAAGGGACTCGAGAGAAATTATCGACCCAGCTGGCTCAAGGGAGAGAAAGCTGAAGGAGAAGGTTGGTTTTTCTTAGAGGGATGCCACCTTCTTTGCTCTTTAACAATGGAAAGGCCTCAAATTAACAAAGTTGACAGTCTCTCCAGTTTCAGAAGTGATATCGTCTACATAATGCATTTATGCCTCACTAACTTGTTTATACGTACAGCTGCCAAGTGAGGAGTGAAACTGTATGGAATCCCAATTACTCACAAAACACAGAGTACAGAGGTAAATATTATCGAGCAGGGCTGCATGAAAAAATACTAGTCCACTATATCTCAGACATAATAGGTTTCAACAGGGACATGTTTTTTTTTTTTACCAGGTAAGTTAGCGATAAATCATTTAATAGATATTACATGAATAAAATTTCCCTGCCATCAAGATGAGATGGTTAAGGCTTGCAGGTTTAGACCTTCACAAAGAAACATATCTTTCGGTGTGAAGTGAGCTACAGCCCAGAGGTGAAGACTTACAGGAGATATCAGTTGTAACGCTTAAAAAGGGAATTTTGGGGGTATTTTTGTAATGAACGGACTAAGGCATTTACGCATGCGTCTCCTGCTGTCTGTTGAAATCCACTTCCGGTCCGTCTCACGTGATGGGGGTGGTCTCTGGGGCGTCACGTGAGCGAGCGGAGAGATTCCTGTTTTGGGCCTGACTGAGCTTTGCGGATACAAAAGCTTAAAGAAATGGGACACTCGAAGACTTAAATAAACGAAGTAAGCGAGTCTTGTATGATTCAATCCTTTTTATATGAAGGAGTTGTCTGTTTTTTAAAATAATTCTAAGTACGGCTTTGATACGATATCTTCGGAAGAGCTACAAGAGGCTTGTTGTTGCTCTGTTACCGTGAGACAGTGCTGGTCGCTCACTGTATTTTGACTTTCGTAAATGCTTTCTTAATACTTACCAGTTTTATAGTTAGGACGCACTTACTGAGTTCTTTTATACTGGGTTCTTTATACACACACTGAAATTCGTAGTGGTTCAAGCACGCCCGTATCAATTTGCCGGTGTCTTCCGTGACAAAGCGCTTGTTTCTCCCGTTGCTGCTGTACATGAAGTTTCAATCACGTCGTCCTCACGGTACCCACCAGTTAACACACAGCTGCCGGTACGGTCTGTTCCTGTAAATCTGTGGGTTATTTGTGTAATTCCGTCAGTCAGTTCAAAGTTACATAATGGAGCTATTCGTCTTGCAGATGGAAACTGATGCTCCCTTTGAGTATTACCGCCAGTGTGTAGTCATATTCTAGGTGTTTACAGTGAAGGTAGCTCAGTGGCAAGAAGTGTAGAATTAAATTCTATTTATAGGCTATACAGGCTTAACCTTTTTCACCAGACGCCCCCTGGAGCTTTGAATAAGCCACTACACTACAGTCGTAGTCATCAGCACATGATCAGTCAGGTTTGTTGTGGAGCGCGCTTGTGATCACCGGACGATAAAAACGGATTGATCTGTCAGAGAGACCCGGGCGCTGAACTTTACATAGGGGTTTTGTGAGTCCGGACATCTGCCAGAAGAGGTCAGTATTTTTTTTTTGGCAAAGATTATACCCCAGTTCTTTGTAAGTGTGCAGTGTAATGGTGGATGGGGTACCACAGTTCATTGACTCTGTGTGCGCGGTGCACGGTCTATCCCTGTGAAAGCATTCTGGGAAGCTAAATTCATGGGGCTGTCTCTTGCAGATCTTATGCCAGAATGAGGTCATAGACGGGCCTGTGGATTGCGTGTAAGTGCTATCCTTCCATAAGCTGCAGGTTAGTATTGCGTTTCCTGCATTCCCCTGTGTGGCTCCAGCAGACAACTGTGTTCTGCAGGGCGTCTCTGGACTTTGATAGTTCAGTTGGGGCGCCTTGAATTCCCCCTCACACGTGCGCAAGCTCCATCTTTCTCTCCATTCTCGTCTTTCCCTGCTCTCTTCTTAGCCGAACCTCGGGGAAGCAGTCGCCTGCCTGGTAGCAAGAGACGGGGTGCAGCAGAGAGACCGGGGGTGCTCTTTGGGGACGCGGGGCGCCGCGGGTTCAGTGGAAGTCTGGCCGACGAGGCCATGTCGAGCACAGCCATGAAGAAAAAGGTAGGAAGGGGTGGAAGACTGTGGCCGGCACTTTCTCCACAGGGGGAGCGGGACGCATCTATAGTCTGCAACTGTTATTCCAAGATTACCAGTCCTGCGCACCACATCACCACCAGCGTTAAAACCAAAGGTTCAGGTGTCTCTGGTTCTGCTAAAAGCACAGTACGGCGTAAGGACATCTATCTCCATTGAGAAATAGCCTGATATTGAACAGATGCTGCCGAGATCTTAAAGGATCCCAGGGCACTGTTCCTATGAGCTGGGGTCTTAACCCGGGTATCCTAGCTGAGTCCCATAATGTTCTTGCACAATTTGACACCCCTAAAGGTCCCTCTGTATTCAGCTGGTGCTGGTGCTGCACTTCAGTGTACCCTCCTATTATTGCTTTGGGATTACATGTACTATATCGAATCTTATTGTTGTTATTGTTGTACTAAGTCCTTCTTTAGCTATCCTATAGGTGCCATTCATTCTACTAACAAACATGATAGCAGTGCAGAGCTTGTCTAGTTAAACGCAGTAAACTTGTTTAAAGTTGAACCCTGAATACTGAGGGGGGAAGCTGAGCTGGAAAGAGAGACCTAAAATTTGTATTAGGATCCAAACAGTGATTTGGAGCTTCGGATTCAGATTGTCCAGTAGAGCTGTAAAATCATTGTCCCTCATTGTCTCTGCAATCCTTTGCACACAGGTGCTGTTGATGGGAAAGAGCGGGTCTGGGAAGACCAGCATGAGATCGATTATCTTTGCCAACTACATCGCCAGGGACACCAGGAGGCTGGGAGCAACCAGTAAGCACTGTGCTAACAAGATATGGGCCGTTGTCCCTATAACCCTATAAAAACAAACTAAAGGATGGTATTAGAATCCTTATAATGAATTGAGGATTACATCTGCTGTTCTGTAATACAGTGGTGTGAAAAAGTGTTTGCCCCCTTCCTGATTTCTTATTTTTTTGCATGTTTGTCACACTGAAATGTTTCAGATCATCAAACAAATTGAAATATTAGACAAAGATAACACAAGTAAACACAAAATGCAGTTTTTAAATTAAGGTTTTTCTTATTAAGGGGAAAAAAATCCAAAACTACATGACCCTGTGTGAAAAAGTGAATGCCCCCCCCCCTCTGTTAAAACATAAATCAACTGTGGTTTATCACATCTTTGGAAAGCTGAGTTCAATTTCTCTAGCCACACCCAGGCCTGATTACTGCCACACCTGTTCTCAATCAAGAAATCACTTTAATAGGACCTGCCTGACAGAGTGAAGTAGACCAAAAGATCCTCAAAAGCTAGACATCATGCTGCGATCCAAAGAAATTCAGGAACAAATGAGAAACAGAGTAATTGAGATTTATCAGTCTGGAACAGGTTATAAAGCCATTTCTAAAGCTTGGGGACTCCAGCGAACCACAGTGAGAGCCATTATCCACAAATGGCGAAAACATGGAACAGTGGTGAACCTTCCCAGGAGTGGCCGGCCGACCAAAATTACCCCAAGAGCGCAGTGACGACTCATCCAAGAGGTCACAAAAAACCCATAACAACATCCAAAGAACTGCAGGCTTCACTTCCCTCAGTTAAGGTCAGTGTTCATGACTCCACCATAAGAAAGAGACTGGGCAAAAGTGGCCAGCATGGCAGAGTTCCAAGACGAAAACCACTGCTGAGCAAAAGGAACATAAAGGCTCGTCTCAGTTTTGCCAGAAAACATCTTGATGATCCCCAAGACTTTTGGGAAAATACTCTGTGGACTGACGAGACAAAAGTTGAACTTTTTGGAAGCTGTGTGTCCCATTACATCTGGCGTAAAAGTAACACAGCATTTCAGAAAAAGAACATCATACCAACAGTAAAATATGGTGGTGGTAGTGTGATGGTGTGGGGCTGTTTTGCTGCTTCAGGACTTGGAAGAGTTGCTGTGGTAAATGGAACCATGAATTCTGCTGTCTTTCAAAAAATCCTGAAGGAGAATGTCCGGCCATCTGTTCGTGACCTGAAGCTGAAGCGCACTTGGGTTCTGCAGCAGGACAATGATCCAAAACACACCAGGAAGTCCACCTCTGAATGGCTTAAGAAAAACAAAATTAAGACTTTGGAGTGGCCTAGTCAAAGTCCTGACCTGAATCCGATTGAGATGTTGTGGCATGACCTTAAAAAAGCGGTTAAGGCTCGAAAACCCTCCAATGTGGCTGAATTACAACAATTCTGCAAAGATGAGTGGGCCAAAATTCCTCCACAGCGCTGTAAAAGACTCATTGCCAGTTATCGCAAATGCTTGATTGCAGTTGTTGCTGCTAAGGGTGGCCCAACCTGTTATTAGGTTTAGGGGGCAATCACGTTTTCACACAGGGCCATGGTAGTTTTGGATTTTATTTTTCCCCTTAATAATAAAAACCTTTATTTAAAAACTGCATTTTGTGTTTACTTGTGTTATCTTTGTCTAATATTTCAATTTGTTTGATGATCTGAAACATTTCAGTGTGACAAACATGCAAAAAAATAAGGAATCAGGAAGGGGGCAAATACTTTTTCACACCACTGTATATTTTATTGCCCCTGTTTTTCTGATTGTTAGTGTACAGACATCAAATAGTTCAGTCTCAGATCTGGCTCGTGCTGTTACCTAATATTGATCTCCCAACCTGTTTTTTTTTAAATTAAATTTGATTACAGATGTTTTTGAGGAAGTCATATGCTGTTGGGAGCGTACCCATATGTTAGCACTTTGTGCTCCCTGTTTCGTATTAGTCCTGGCTACCAGGGGAATGTGAGTTCAGGTGGGTCATGAAGTTCAAAAGGAAGATCAAAAAGAAACTACAGAGAGATTTATCAAAGTCATTAACTTTTTGAGCACTTGGTAATTAAAACCCATTTCTTTCTTGCATTTCAGTTGATGTGGAGCACTCTCACGTCCGCTTCCTGGGTAACCTTGTGCTGAATCTGTGGGACTGTGGAGGGTGAGTTAGCCACATTATCGTGCCCATGAGTCATTTTTGACCCCTTGTCCTTTGAGACACTTACACACCCCTCATCGTCGTTTCACTCCGTCTGAATACGAATGGCAGTGCTTGATCAGGTACTGTGCTAACCTTCAACACTGCCATTTATTTGCAAAACTGAACAAGCTTTAAAAGAAATGTGGCTCTATAAATGGTTATATTTAAAATGTAAGCCATTTTGATGCAAGAATTAGAAGTATTTGCCACCCCCCACCCCCCCACACACACCCTCTTCTGCACTGTTAACATTGGATTTCGCTTGGTTGCGTAACAGAGTCTAAAGCAAAACATTGAATGATGTATTTAACCCTTCCCAGAAAGCTAAATGCTATTTAATTCATGTGGCTCTGTCTAGAATTGCATAACAGCAATTGCATAACAGCTGAGTAGTCAGCATTGAGTGTGAGCCACAAGGAGCCTACTTGTCTCAGACGTATGCCGATGTATTGAAGGGCAGAGTGTGAGCAATAAGAATGGGGGAGACCTGAGAGAACAGCTTTATGTTAAAGAGGTCCTCAAAGCTAGTGTTTACTGCTGTGGAGTGCAAGCACGTGAAGCCATTGGTCATGCAGGTTTGAATGCCAGTGCAGTGGAACTAATGGGCATATCTGTCAGTGTGTTTGTTTTAAATGCCATTTGTTCTTTTCCTCTCCCAGGCAGGACACTTTCATGGAGAACTACTTCACGAGCCAGCGTGACAACATCTTCCGCAACGTGGAGGTGCTGATCTACGTGTTTGACGTGGAGAGCCGGGAGCTGGAGAAGGACATGCATTACTACCAGTCCTGCCTGGAGGCCATTCTGCAGAACTCGCCCGACGCCAAGGTCTTCTGCCTGGTGCACAAGATGGACCTGGTGCAGGAGGACCAGCGAGATCTGGTGAGCAGAGCTGGGCAGCCTGGTCCTGATGCCACCGTTGGGGACTGAAGGCCTTTCTTACTGTCTTCTTTCACTTCGCTGTGTTTGCTCTCAGTGCAGCGGACCTTCTGGGGCTCATTTTGTCTCCCACCTTTCTTTGACATTGAGATGTGAGTGCCTCTCTTGAATGAGCCCTAGCCAAGGAAATAAGCAAGTTAGCTGAGAGTCGGGCAACCTTCCCAATAGATCAGAAGGAAAAAAATAATGTCACAATTGTGCTCAGTTACAAATACTAATGTGTCCCTCAATTACAGTCAAGGACAAAAAACAAGAGATAGCTGCTGTTAAAAGCTATGAACAGGTGTGGGTCATTTCCCCTCTACAAAGGGGTTAAATGTTTTTATTGAGATCATTACTACTTTACTACTGCCTGCTGGGTATAAATCATTCACTCCTCTGTCCCCCAGCAAAGCGATGAGCACAGATGAGAGATGAGAGATGGCTTAAACTGCACATTCCCTCACTTCCAGCCCTTTGCCAGTACGTACCCCTGGGGAACCCTTCAGTCATGCAGTACAGATAATACTACTTTGTGCAGTAATGCAGTGAACTTGTTAATTCCGGTGATTTATTTTTCTCCAGTGCCTGAGCAGATCCTGGAGACAATGTGGTGTAGCTGATGTGTAACTGAAGTCAAAGGTTATTTTTTTTAGTGCGTGGGAGAGCTGGGCCTCTCATTGGTACAAGGGTCCAGCTTTTAACCCCTTTCTTTCTCCTTCATGATTCCCCCCCCCCACTGACTGGCTTCAGATATTTAAGGAGCGTGAAGAGGACCTGAAGAGGCTGTCCCGCCCCCTGGAGTGCACATGTTTCAGGACCTCTATCTGGGATGAAACTCTCTACAAGGTGAGGGCTTGAATGTGTGCTTGTATCTCTGTACCACTGACTCCTGTTGGGTTTGTATGCGCTTTTGTCTTCTGATGTATTGGAGCTTAACACAAGGGTGACCGTAGGACAAAATCATTATTTTTGTCTTGTCGAGGTGGTGAAGACAGGGCTGTTTGGCTTTTAAAAATGTATAAAACTGAAAGTGCAAAAAGTATGTGTTCTCTGTTTCTATAGTTGCTGTCTTTGTAAGATAATTGTTGCCATTTGATTAAAACTTACAATTAAAATGAGTATGGAGTATTCCACATGGGTTAAGCATGCTCATTTCTGTAAATGACTGTGGTCAGACTGAACCCCTGACCCCTGCCTCCCCTCTCTAGCATGAGGCAATGCAAAAATGAAAGAAAACATACTTTCCTTTAACAAATCTCTCTGCAATGCATTGTTGTCACTTAGTAATTCAACAGTAGCATAACCACCTTGTAGCCTAATTTCTGATATCCTGGAATCTGGATGTTCACATGGAATTCATCAAATTCCTGGATATTCATCTGGAATTCATCAGTTTCCCTTCGGGATCTATAAAGTCTTATCTATCAATCTAAGGTTTGGAGAGCCCCAAGTGAGACTGTTGCTGCTGTTAATGGTTTTGGGTTACCAGTAGGTGGCAGGAGTGAACATGCTTGTTTCATGCATGTTCACTGCAAGACGTGTTACTGTCTTATTATTGACATGCAGCTTGTTGACATGTTTATCAGTTGTTCCATGCTGTCAAAAAGTCCTAAGTATTACAACAACAACCTTTATTCAGGGGCTGTCCATCTGTACGATAATCAGCATCAGTATATCATTCTTTTACCTTGATAGCCACATTATCACCGTTCATATTGGGATGGAAGACCTCAAAGGAACACCAGTTTTTTTCTGTAATGGATGTTAGTGCACTGGTGGGCCAGTAGGTGGCAATCCTTCCCTGTGGACTAGAACTCCAATCCTGTGCTCCAGTATGGTAAAAGGGGACACTGTTGTAGGAGATGTTGTTTTGGGTCATGCATTAAATCAAGGTCCTAACTATTTGGTCATTAAAAGTCCCATGGCTCTGTAAGTTTAAGGATTTTAGCCTTTGTATCCTGGATCAGTTTCTAGTCTGAGTGTGCATAACATGGCCTCCCTAAACCTCATTTCCCCATTAATTCATCTGGTGTAAGAGTAATTGATCCAGTTATTCTCACCTCCACGACAAACAGCAATATCCTTTTCTGTATAAACGTGTGTAAGTTTGCAATCAGAAACATGTACCTCCAATGAGCCCCACAGCTGACTGAGAGAACTGTAGTTGTTCCTACACACCTGATGTGTGTGCTGTGTAGCGGAGCTCCTGGTGCACGATGGCAGCCAGGTGGGATCTCCACCATCAGTGGTGGTTGGATTTTGTTATCTCCAACACGTAAAACACTAACACTGTGTGATCCTTCCAGGTGACAAATGCTCTGGGAATGGAAGGAACTGTTATCACGTTTGCAAGAATCAGTCTGTACAGGTTGAGCCATGTGTGAACCCTGGTTCAGCATCCCAAAAATGAGTGATCTGGAAAAACTGCAAGATGAGACTCTCCGCATTCCATGTTCTCAGCCAGCCAAGTTATTGCATCCTAGATGGCTTTGTTTCTGACAGATATGCCATCTTGGTTAGTAAAAACCCAACAAACAAGTCCTGCGTTTTCTTGACATTTTTGACACTAGAATAGACTGTAGGAAATGCAAGAATGTATATAGAGGATGTAAACCAAGCCTTAGAAAGCACATCAGGGGATTTTTTTAATTGCATCTGTTGTTATCATTGCCATATGTTACCAGAGCATGGTTCAGCTATTTCTTTCCAAGGTATGTGTGGGAACTGGGGTTGTTGTCCTTGCCGGTGCTGCTGTTTGAACACTGTCCTCGGATCTGTCCCGTCCAGGCTTGGTCCAGTATTGTGTACCAGCTGATCCCCAACGTGCAGCAGCTGGAGACCAACCTCCGCAACTTCGCCCAGATCATAGAGGCTGATGAGGTGCTGCTGTTTGAAAGAGCCACTTTCCTGGTGAGAGCTGGGGCCTCAAACCTTGTAAACAGAGTGCATGTCTGCTACACCACACTGGTTGTGCAGGAAGATGTCAGGGTCATGTGAATGGCAGGGAGAAGTAGGAAGGAGGAAAATGACCAATAACCGCATAACAAGTGCGAGATTTAATCCCAAGATTTTGGTTTGTTACGCAGTTTAAATCCACACCAGATAAACTCTACCCAAGTCACCAAATTCTTTCTCGGTTGAAAAATATAGAGAGTTTTTCATTTTTGTTTGTTAAATTCGCACCTTGTATCGCTTTTCAGTTGCATTTAGAAAGCGGAGCAATTCAGACACTGGCTCTCTTGAGAGTCTTGAGAGTGCTGGAAGTTGTGGCTGTCTTAATTTCTGGCTGAAGGCCTGCAGTGAAACGCTCATTTTATGGATACCTTTAAAGATCGGCCGAATCCTTGTGTCACTTTGAACCTGGACTTGTTTATCCCTAATACAGAGGGTGATAAATTTGGGAATGTTCCACATACATCCATGATTAGAGCTTGGCACTCCCAGCTGGAAGTCGGCACCTAGCATAAATAAACATGCGGCTGCGTCAAGCCAAGAGTAACAAACTTGTCCCTCTGAAAGCCAAAGCATTTTTTACAAGCAGGAAGAAGGGGGTAAGTTGCCGAAAACATGACTGCTTTTCTGAAAGCTGTCTCTTTGCAAAATTATGGAAAGTGTATTAATCCGTATATCTCCAGGGCATCTTTAAAGAAGAAAAGTAGGAGGAGTGACTTTTTCAGTGAACCAGTTACTGCTGGTTTAGGTCCATTCCATAACCCTGTTATAATTGAATCCGAGTGTTTTAAATCTTGTCGGAGCGGAGACTCTGTGGAAGCTCTGTGGTCTGGAGCCGGCTGACCTGATGTGTCGTGTCGTGTCGTGTCCCTCAGGTCATTTCGCACTACCAGTGCAAGGAGCAGCGAGACGCCCACAGGTTTGAGAAGATCAGCAACATCATTAAACAGTTCAAGCTGAGCTGCAGGTACAGTTCTCCTCCCTGCCAGTGTGCGTCGTGCCCTCTCTCTCTCTCTCTCTCTCTCTCTCTCTCTCTCTCTCCC